CCCTGTGTCCACCAGTGTCCTGTGCCCACCAGCACCCTGTGCCCACCAGCAGCCTGTGCCCACCAATGCCCTGTGCCCACCGGCGCCCTGTGCCCACCAGTGTCCTGTGCCCACCGGCGCCCAGGGCCTTCCCACTTGGGAGGCAGCTGCTCCCAAGGAGATTCTGTGCTGTGCAGACAACTCCCACCCTGGTCTTGGCTGCTCACGTGCTCTGCCCCTATGCTTGAGGTTCCCTCTGGACACAGGAACGCAACCAGAAATGACCGATTTCATCAAGGCTGGAGAACGGGCATGCCAGCGTTTGCCCTGGGCAGCCTCTGAAAGCGCAGTCTCCTCCCCTTTGAACCCTGTTGCACGTGGCGCTGCACCTGGAGGAGGCCGTGAAGCAACTTCCCACCCGGTTTAATGAGGCTCTCGTCACCGAGAAGGGCTTTTTGCGACATTCATGACCGTGAGCTTGGTTAAGCTCCGAGATCAGCGTGGGACGCCTGGGCCTCTGGAAGTGGCTTATGTGCTTTGTCTCCGTGATCACCGGGATTATAAGGAATTAGGACATTCTGTGTCCAGGTTCCCACGCCTACGCCTCCGCTGTCGGGTTCCTCTTAAATCCCAGCCTGCCCGCGTCTGCCATCAGCATCTGAGCTCTGCTGCAGGCATGCGTGAGTTCCCCAGGGAAGAACGGCAGAGTTGGCCTGCCATTAACTCTAGGGCTTGAATCAAAGCCAAAGGGGAATTAAACTGGACGAAGTTGGCTTTTCAAGTTAAACATAATGCAGAGCGAGCAGTGTCACCTCCTCTGACAGAGTCAATCGACTCCAAGGTGCCAAGTGCTAGGGCTCCCGCGTGTAAGGCAAAACGCGAGCTGTCAAAGCAAATGGGGTGCTCATGCTTCATGTGTGAGGAAGGACCACAGATCATGGTTCATGTGTGAGAAAGGACCACGGCTCATGCTTCATGTGTGAGAAAGGACCACGGCTCATGCTTCATGTGTGAGGAAGGACCACGGCTCATGCTTCACGTGTGAGGAAGGACCACGGCTCATGCTTCATGTGTGAGAAAGGACCACAGATCATGCTTCATGTGTGAGAAAGGACCATGACACATGCTTCATGTGTGAGGAAGGACCACGGCACATGCTTCATGTGTGAGGAAGGACCACGGCACATGCTTCACGTGTGAGGAAGGACCACGGCACATATGTGAGGAAACGGGTGAAAATCAAGTCCCCCAGAACGCATCGAGCAGGGCGAATCTGTTTTGCCTGAAGACAGGGGTTCACCATGGCAGCTGGAGACTGGAGGCCCAGGAGGTGGAGGCTCAGGGAATGGCTTCTGGACAATGAACAGCCGGCTTTGAGGCAAAGGAGGGACAGAGGCCGTGGGAGGGCCGCTGGGCCGAGGGGCCCGGACCACAGGAAGGCCGGTGTATCTCTGTGCGGGGGAAATGCTGGAGAACCAGTGACAGGCTGGCGCTGCTGGCACCAGGAAGTTCTGGGCTCCATGCGGTGAGCAGCCCCAGGGGGCAGGGCAGGCTGAACCCCAGTGCCAAGGACGTGAAATACGACAGCGACTTCAGATCACTGCCTTGTGAGACTGGATTTTGCTTCTGAAAACATGGGCTTCACACTCCAGTCCTGGGAGCGGCGGCATGCTTCTCCCTGTGAGCTAAGACGCCTGCTTCCGTCACAAATCCAATTTGCTTGGCACCTGCAGCTGGAAGGCGTGTGCTCTCCAGGCAGAGATGTGAGAAGGCAGAGCCATACAACACTGCTGTGGTTCCGATGCCATTACCACCCAGCAAGCGCTTCTTCCTTTGTCTCTTTCCCTCCTCCCTTTCTTTCCTTACAATCCTTCCCTCCCTCCTTGCCTTTGTTTCCTCCCTCCTCCCCGCCCTCCTCAGCACCAGGGATTGAGCTGAGGGTCTGAGGCGCTGGGCAAGTGCTCCTCTGCCGGAGGCTCGCGCCACTCCCTTTGCTTTTAGTCTGTTTGAATTGTTTTTAGGTAGATTCTCCTGCTTTTTCTCAGCCAGCTTCAGACCTGGGACTCCTACATTCATCTGGGCCCACAAGCGGGTGCCCCTATGGTCTGCCCTGACATAACACAGGCCGTTTGAAACCCGAGTAGAGGAGTCCTGCTTGGCCGGTGCTACAGGGAGCGGTTTCTGAGTGCATAGCATACCAATGCATAGGGGAGAGGGGTAGTTCCACCGACGGACGGTCCCCGGCATACAGGAGATGTGCGAACGGCCCTGTTGAAGAGAAAAGTGAAATAGAACTTGTGTTAGCACAGAGTACAGAAGAAACGTTTGTGAGAGTATCTGTGGCTCCATTGTCGTTTTACATTTTAATCATCAATGTAAAAATATCAGAAACTTGAGAAATCTATTGGTACTACTGATTATTAATGAGGCACCTAGAAAAAAATCCTCTATCACTAAAAAGCACAGCCTCGACTGTCTTTCTAAGAAGACAGCGTTGCTGTAGCACGTTGTATAATGCTGAGAGCAGCCTCTATGCTGCCATCAGAACTGCACGCTGCCGTACTATCCATCACAGCCGCAGCAGTCCCCGGGTTTTCCCCAGACGCTCGCGGTCACCAGGAGCCTGTGGCACTTCCTGGCCCTGCTGCCTGAGGCTGTCTGCGGGGCTTTCACCCCGCTCTGCCCCACGACTTGCCCTGCTGCATACCTTGCGCGGCCCCGGCATTGCCAGGGCACTGCCCGCCCCACGCTCGCTGAGCGCCTCCTCGAAGGTGGCCGCGGCGCAGGTAAAGGAAACGCCTTCCTTCTAGGGGCTCCATGCACGAACGCACGTGCGCACGCACACACACACACACACAGCAAACGCATGCACTGCGGTCTGAATTCACTGAAGGGTCGGGCCATCAGGAGCAGAGCCAGGCCCGGGGCTTCGGAAAGCACAAGGTTAAACCACCAAGAGACAGAGCCTATGGTGGGATTGAGAAGCAAACAGATAACAGAATAATGGGTCACAGAGAGTGGTTTCCCCAGGTGTATAAAGTATTTATAAGAACTTGTGTGTGATTTATATACAAACGCGTAACTAGTGTGTTGTAAACTTTCGCCCCCCGTTTCTTGAGGATTCTGTGCACTCAGCGCCTGTCCCACGTGCCCGGCCTGCGTAGGTGTCTAATGGTGACTCTGAGCGTGCAGAGTGGGGTTGGCACTGAGCTCTGCAGCAGTGAGAGGCCTGGGCCCGGGGAGAGACTGGCAGACCGCCGGACACGGCCACTGTGTCTCCAGCCCCCGCGCTCCTCCGAACCTGCTCTGCAGACCCACTGGAAGAATACACGTTTAAGCCACTGTGAAAAGCAGGTGCCTGGCTCTGTGCCTTGGCAGCTCTTTTGGGTGGGGCCTGGGCAGGACTGGCAAACCCACGGGCTCTCTAGGGGAACCATCCAGGGCCTGGTGCCCAAGCCTTCTCCACACCGAGGACAGCGGGACAGATACCTGCAGAGTGTAGCCGGGCTCACACTGGAAGGACAGCACGTCATTCACCATGTAGCGGTCTCCAATCTTGATGCCATTGCTAGGCAGGGTTGGCTCTTGGCACGCAGTGAGCCCCACAGCTAGGGAAGAGCAGAGACATACATTGGGCCTCACGAGGGCAACAAGATCCCCTCCAGGCTCACAGGGAAATACAGACCTCAGCGCCCGCTCTTTCTGCTACTCTACCAAAAGGCCGAGGTGCTCGGCCAGGGTCCGACACTACTCTACTTCCATCATGCAGAAAATCACCATTTTCCTTCAAGTAACAAACTTTGCCATTTTTGCATTTGGTGCAAAACATTGGTTCTGTTCCAAAGCAAATACCACTGACACGATCATGCCGGAAAGCCAGGTCGCCAGGGGTATGTGAGCCTTCCTGAGGCCAGGGCCTGCCCGCCTTCTGCACGTGTGTAGCAGACTTCATGAAAGAATTGAAGTGTTCTTTCCATGAAAATGCAGTGAGAACAGACATGCTGTACCCTTGTCTCTCTGTCTCTTTTTCTTGGTCTCTTAGAGAAGACAACTTCCCATTGTTCTCAGGCCAATGATCTTAGGCCAAAGGGATCAAAATTCCTCATGCAAAGCTATAATCGGTACCTTCCTGGAGCAGAGCTCTCTCCACTTAAGAAAATCACTGATCAAGAAGGACTGTGTCAAATCCTATTAGAACTCAACCTAAAAAAACTCTGTTGTTTAATACATATCGCTTTCGTGAGAAGAAAAGCTACACAGTTATGATACATTATAGAGAGAAAATGTAAAATGTCCAAAGGTCCAAACTTCTGTGGGGTGAGCAGGGCTGGTATGTAAGTGTGCACGGTGAGTGTGCAGCTGTGCCAACTTAACTTATGTACTTGCTAATGTGCTCAAGCTCGCCGGGCAGTGCACACTCTGGTGTGACTTCTGTCCGGGTGGGCCAGGTGACATTTCTGCCACACAAGAAGTGCAGAGATTTACTACAAAGTTTTCCACTCTCCCCTCAATGATTGTCTTTTCTTAAACTGTAAAACACCACTTGCATTAAGCTTAGTATGTTTTATTCCCAGCAGGAATGAAAAGCCCACTCAGGGCTTTTCACCAAAAATAAAACTTCTAAATATGAGAAAATATGATCTGTAAGCCTGCAACTTGGCACATTTGCGTAAGCCTGAAATCTCTTTTTGTAACCTTAGGATATGGATTACAACTACATTTAAATTCCCTGGTTATTTTTTTCCCACTGAAGATCAGTAATATCATCTGCTTTGAACATTTAGTTTCTTATTTCAGTCTGAAAGCATCTACTTTAAAATGTTCTGAACACACAATTTAGTTCACTAAAACTCTAACTTATGGTGACATTATTAACATTATTTTAGGATACTTCAAATACTGACTGGATAGAACAAAGAATAAAGAATATTAATGACAAAAAGTATCCAAAATGCAGAGAGAAAATACTTTGAAATTTAAAATATATGATAAAGGATTCAGAATAAAACCACAGTGATTTAAGCCTCTCATTTAAACACATGCAATACAATGTATTTTATTCATTTATTCTACTTTTATTGTTCGTTATAGGTGGTTATTGTGTACTTATTTTCATTTTCTCCTCCTCAAATTCTGTCTAAATCCAATTCATCCTCTGAAAACTATAACTTGCACTTATATTTATCGCCACCAAAATTATAGCATATTTTCTGAAGTACAAATGACAAACTTCACACTGGTTAATGTATAATGTGGTTGCATTCAGGAAGCAGATTGACGGAGACCAAGGTATTTGAAATGTTAGAAGGAAGCCTGCTCCCGTACCTACCTCCCTTCCTTCCTCCCTTCCTCCCTCCTTCCCTTCCTCCCTCCCTCCCTTTCTTCCTCCCTCCCTTCCTTCCTCCCTCCCTCCCTTCCTCCCTTCCTTCCTCCCTTCCTCTCTTCCTCCCTTCCTCCCTTCCATCCTTCCTCCCTCCATTCCTCTCTTCCTTCCCTCCCTCCCACCCTCCCTTCCTCCCTTCCTTCCTCCCTTC